GGGGGGATACAAGTTAGAACACTAAACATAACTTAAATTTAAATGACAGCTTTCTACAAAAAAGTTGAGTCCTGTTCACGGACCGTTTTGACCATCTTAAACTTAATATCTTTCAAAACTGTACAATATTCAAATAGTTCAAGTTTATACCTTTCTAATGACTACTCGCACGCGTTCATACGATTTTTCTACAATTTATGGCGATTTTTATAAAACTGCCTGTCATTTCATAAGTGATTTCGGACCAGTCTGTGAAGATGTTCATTTTCACACTGGGTTTGAGACCACTAAAAATCATAATAAAAATTAGGAACAAAGTAGACTCATTTTATAAACTCTCAGAGGTGACGGATTCAGTTTTTGACTTATGAGGATTTTTCTATGAGCTTTCTAAAAACAGGGACAGTAAAGGGTAAAACTGTCAAAAGTGGTTTATAGATTTATTAACACCTTCTAACATTTTTGAGCAATGTTTATACATTAAGGAAGTTAAAACACAATCATTTAAATATGTTTAATTACCATTTTTACAAAAGTGATAAGTACAAAAAGGTCTTTAGTATCAAACTTAAGGATTATTTCATGCAAAGTTTCTAATAAAAACGTAAGAATATGAACAAGAATTACGAAACATACCAAATCATCTTTTAAAACTTATGCATATATATAACCATATACATATATAGGTTTTGTTTACAAACTTGTCTTCTACATCAAAAATTTCACTTTACTCGTTTTTATCAAATAAATCACTTGTGATTTATTACTACTATGTGAAAACTCTTGTCATACTTTGTGTGCATTAGACTTACGCAAAGTATATAATGATTTCAAAGTACCTTTCATTGTTAAGTCGTTTTATACATTCTAAAAACTTATGATTTATGCTTTGTCAAACATTGTGAAAAAGGATAAACTTTACATACAAAAACTATCACTTTAATACAGGCTTAGTTGAGAATCCATGAGACGTGTATATCTTCAAACGTTACTTTTCTTTATTAGAAAGTAATGCTACAAGTCCTGTCTATAACCAGAGTCTCCCGTTCGGAGAACGTGTCAAATGTGTATAGATCTATACGGGAAGTCATGATCCTGCGTCCTGACTGTTAGCTACAGTCCGTCCTTTGGGGTGACAGTTTGTCATAACGCTACGACGCCTGAAGAACGTCGCTACAGGCATATTATGTTTAGTATGGTTATAAAACTCACCGGATATACAATTAATACGGTATTATGCTTTTATGAACGAGTAGCTATTAAAACTATGCTACAACTTTTAAGCATGTCGGTTGCTTGCGATTTTCGGTCTTAGAGACTGCTAGTTATGTTAGGAAAATAAGGGTTTTTCCTGGATACAAACAAACAACTAATAGGAAAATAAGGAATTTTCCTGGTGCAATTACTTACAACTTATAACACGAACATTCATATGCATTTCATACTTTTATAAGAAAATAAGGGTTTTTCTTGGAAAACACAACAGTTCGTATCTCAACCATTAGGGAAAATATGGGATTTTCTGGATCTAATACATTCATTGTCAACACAACGAATCATAACTCTTTACATGTGAAATACTGCGTTTTCTGGAAAACATACACGAACTTTCGAATGGCGTACATTTTCTCAAAACAGTACTTATGAACTCACCAACTTAATTATTGACACTTTTTCTTTGAAATAACTTGTATTCTCAGGGAACCGCTAAGCAGGTTTGGAGATCAACTTTTGGGGATTAACGTGCTGACGTTAATTACTTCTTTTGAAAGATGTTTATGTATTTATCTTTTGATCATGTAACGAATACAATTATGTAAACATTTTGAAAAACTTAATATATATGGTGGTGTGTACTTTCCTTTCTATGAACTGTTATGATACTGAATATGACGTCCTCCGCCCTCGAACGTTTCCGCCGTTCTGGTTTGGGGGTGTGACAAAAACCCATCCTACTCGTCGAGTCTGTTCTTGGACTCAGCGAGTTCAAGCCATGCTCAAACTCAAATGACCTTCTGAGGTCATATGCGCTCCTCTAATCCATAGATCTAACCTCCCAAGCTCAATAAACACGTAAAGGTTCGAACTTGATACACATGCAATGTCTAAATGACACTACTTGATGATTTAGTGCCAAATACAACACTCTAAGTTCATTTCTTCCATAACCCAACATAAATCAAGATGGATAACCTTCTCTGGACCACTATGGGTCTAGATCTGAAGTCTAAACATGATAAGGGACCTTATTCTCAACAAATCAACCCGATAAAGGGCATAGGAAACCCTAGATCCATGGATGCTTTAACAAAACAGAAATAGGGTCGATATGCTGCATCAAAAATGATGCCCTCTGCTTGAAATCCACGAATATGCAACCTCATTGGCCTCCTCCAAGCTGGAATCAACTTCTTCTTGCAAAACAAACCCACAAAGGTCCAATAATGGCTCCTTCTCTCTCACAAATGCTCAAGCACAATAAGGGTTTCTCTTAAGGGCCTGGTAGCCGCAAATGGTGGCTATAAGCCCCTTTAAATAGGTCTCAAACACCGGGGATTAGGGTTTCATTAAACAACGTGGACTTGCCGAGTCCACGAATGGATTCACCAAGTCCGCCATTAAATCAGTCTGACCATCTGCGCTCCTACTCGGCAAGTCTGAGCGCCTACTAGGCGAGTCTCTCTCTAAAAACTCAATATTAAAGCATAAAATAAGATACCTGGGAGTCCAGATGTTACATATTTATAGGGATTACATATAACTCTTCCTTATGATCATAGAATAAGTTAAATACTTTTCATCTAAAAACCACTTAATTTGAGTAGGTTTCATATAAAAATTAAATCTGATTAATATTGTGATGAAAGGCAAACATGTAAAGACTAAGGAGTGGTGTTGCAAACATTTTATGAATAGCAAAATTAATACTTTTAAACGGGACATCAATTAGTTTTTATGGTTATAATATATTTTATACAAGGGCATGCGTAGGTAGGGATGAGATTTAGAACCGAAAAACCGGACCGGAACCGGAATCGGAACCGTTAGAACCGGAATATATAAAACGGGTTTCGGTTCCGGGTTCAAAAATTGGCTTTATCCGGGTTCCGGGTAATTCAGGTTTGGATCCATCGGGCCCCGGTAAACCAGGTCTAAAAACCGGAACCGGTTTTTTGTAAAATGTTTAAAAGATACATATCTCATTCGTTTCAACTCTGATTGACATACGGTTTTTTCCAACTTGTAGTTTAGAGTTTGTACATGATTGTAGACTACAAATTTTCCATTTCTAATTTTATATTCATTGATTTATAGTCCCCCAAAGTTGATATATCAAAGCTAGAAGTTTTTAATTTTTTCAGTTTTTTTGTATTCGGTGAAAGTTTTAAAACATACATATCTAATTCGTTTAAAGTCGTATTGACATGTGCTTTTTTCCAACTTGTAGTTTACAGTTTATACATGATTTTAGACTATAATTTTGTCATTTTGGTTTAACATTCAAAGATTTACAGTCCTCTAAAGTCGGGATATCAAAACTGAAAATTTTCAACTTTTCAACTATTTGTTTTTGTATTTTGTATTATGTGAAAATGTTAACACATGCATATCACATTTGTTTAAAGTCGGATTGACATAAGGTTTTTTCCATGGTGTAAATTAGAGTTTGTCCATGATTTTTAGCTACAATTTTGTTAATTTTGGTTTCATATTCAATGAGTTACAATCCCCCAAAGTTGAGATATCAATATGAAAATTTTCAAAGTTCAACCCACTAAGTAGTAAGTAATTACCAAAAAATTCCAATTTTTCCAGGTTTTCCGATTCTAAACTCACTTTATCCGGTTCCAACCTACTCACTTTGATGTTTCCGGGTTTTCCGGTTCTAGACCCACTTTACTTGGAACCGAACCGAAATCGGTTCCTATATACCGGTCCGATTTTCGGTTCTACAAAATCTCGTTAACAAGTTCTGGGTTTTCCGGGTCCGGGTCCATCCGATCCGGGTTTGGACCCACTTTCATCCCTATGCGTAGGAATATCTAACAGTAGTGGTATAAAAAAATCCGATCAAATATAATAATATGAACCTAGAGATGGATTGATATTGGGTTTGATTCGTATCGTTTCAGACTGATATTTGACAAAACCCACGAAGCCCTTCAAATTTAGACAAACTCAAATATTTATAACTCTATTAGGCTTGAGAGCAAAAAATAAATAAATTAATAAATTAAGAAAAAAGAAAGACTTCATGACATAAACAAACATTTCATCCTACAAAGCATGGGCGTAGCTTTATTAGGGCGACGGGTTGTGCCCGTTCCCCTCCCCTGATTTTTTGGTTATAAATAATCCATATACATTAATTTTATACATATTTGCTTCTTTGTGACATATGTTTAATAGAGATTAGTACATACGTATTCCTTACTATGTATGCTTACATGTTAAATTCATCAATCTTAAGTAAGGCTTTGTAATAAATTTAATTTCTCGTGTTTAGTTTGATGTTTTTATATGTAGTCAATTGTAAATCAATACAACCATTTGTATTTTCGTAATAAATTATGTTTGCGACTGCAATAAAGTGTTTCTAACAAACTGGTCATGAGTTAATCTCAGACATATATTTTCTCGCCCGTCCTAAAAAAAAATTATGTTGGCAACTAAATTATTGTTTTTCCATATATAAGTCTTTTGATGCATAAATTAGGTTTCTAGACACGGATCAATAAATCACATAGCTTATATCCATAATTAATAATTCATAACAAATGTTCACATGAAAGTTGGGTAACAAGTTAAATCTTGCGTCATTATTTACACACAAATAATAATAAGAATCCAAATATATTGTGTGGTGATTAGAAATCTGCGATCCCAATCCACAAGTCTTCTGTTTCTCGAACAATCAAAGACTCACATGTCCCATTCTGGCTTCTTACTATAAATAGCAACTCCTCTTCATCTTCTTGAACCAACCTACTGTTCAAAGCCATCATCATCGTAATCATCTCATCTCATAGCTTTTACTTTACCTTTTAAGAAACATAAACCAACATATCTTTCTTCTGGTTATTAATTAGTTTTATCCTCCATATATGGCTACGGCTGCCGGAGCTGTAATCCGACCACTGGTAATCACCTTTTTTAAAAGATTTAATAGTATCATGGGTTGACCCGTCAAGACAGTTGTTTTTTATTTTTTATTTTTTTGTCTTCACATTAACAAACAAATGATAGTTTCAAACGTCGTTTACACAAGGTATATTAAAAAGATATTATATCCTCACCTGTCTATTATGGGTTAGAGTCCTTTTAACCATTTTCGCTAAATATGTTCTAGCTTCTTCTACATTTACATTGCATATCGCTCTTGTTCTCATCGTCTTTCTCTCTACCACATGTACATGCATACACACACACACACATTAATTACACATTTATAATGCGTCTTTTTCAGTCTTTCTCTCATCGTCTTTCTCTCAATCATGAGTCTTCATCGATCAGTTTAATCTGTTTTAGTAGCCTTAAAGAATTAACATAGAAATGGCGTCTATAACTATTTCTTTGTTGCAGTTGAACTTGAATGGTTCTGGTGGAAGAACTTTGCCTCCAACCTCAGCTTTCTTTGGTGGAGATATAAAAAAACTGGTCTTTAAACCAAAAACAAAGGCTTCAAGTGGGAAATTCAAGGTGGTTGCAGCCGAAGTTGATGAAGATAAGCAAACCAACAAGGACAGGTGGAGAGGACTTGCGTTTGATGAATCCGATGATCAACAGGACATTACCCGAGGGAAAGGAATGGTGGATACACTCTTTCAAGCTCCCATGGATAGTGGCACTCATTATGCCGTTTTGAGCTCCTATGAGTACCTAAGCACAGGCCTCCGGCAGTAAGTAATTTATATTTTCTACATCTCATATACTTCAATTGATATATAGTGGTTATATATTATTTTTGAGTTTCTTGTTGATCACGTCAAAATTAATGATATTACGTACTTATAGATACAACCTCGATAATACCATGGATGGATTCTACATTGCACCTGCTTTCATGGACAAGCTTGTTGTTCACATCACCAAAAACTTCATGACATTGCCAAATATCAAGGTACTAATTAAGTAATTAACTATGATATGTTTACTATTTAGTATGAGAATTAAATCCCAGTAAAACATACGTACCCTTATTATATCTTACTATTAGGGCGATTTACCTCAAATAACAACCAAATTTAATTACTACCAAAATAGGTTATGTAATTTACCGACTTGTATTTCTCTACCTATTCAGGCAATATATAACTTGTATTTTTAATTAGACAATTCAATTTTATACAAATAATTAACATCTTCATCTAAGGATTGTAGCAATGCAACTGCTCTATATTTTATTCAACCTCTAAGCAAGCATCCATGAGAAATTTAGAAACATTTAAAACAAAAATGGCAAACTAAAAATAAAAGTGCTAGAATTATTTAAACTAAACAAAGGCAAATGTACACTCGTTAGAAAACTATAAGTTAATTGTGATTATGAGTAAAACCTAAAGTATGTTGCTTATTTCGGTAACAATGGTAAGTTTATTGCTATATCTTGCAATTCTTTTCTAAATATTCTAAAATATGTACGATTTCAATTGTAGGTTCCTTTAATTTTAGGCATTTGGGGAGGCAAAGGTCAAGGAAAATCTTTCCAATGTGAGCTTGTATTTGCGAAAATGGGTATCAAGTAGGTTTTGCTCCTTCTAATGCTTTGAAGTTTGATCTATAGACCTGACCATAATTTCTAGTCTAATGTTCATATCGAATGTATAAATTAATCCAGCCCAATCATGATGAGTGCCGGAGAATTAGAAAGCGGAAACGCAGGTGAACCGGCGAAGTTAATCCGGCAAAGATACCGCGAAGCAGCAGACATAATCAGCAAAGGGAAAATGTGCGTCCTCTTCATCAACGATCTTGATGCAGGGGCCGGAAGAATGGGTGGAACTACTCAATACACAGTCAATAACCAGATGGTGAATGCCACCCTCATGAACATCGCCGATAATCCCACCAATGTCCAGCTTCCCGGAATGTACAACAAACAAGAAAACCCTAGGGTTCCGATCATCGTCACCGGTAACGACTTTTCCACTTTATACGCCCCTTTAATCCGTGATGGTCGTATGGAGAAATTCTACTGGGCACCTACTCGCGAAGATCGAATTGGGGTTTGCACTGGTATATTCAGATCTGATAATATCCCTAAAGACGATGTTGTCAAGCTTGTAGACACCTTCCCTGGTCAATCGATTGGTGAGTTCGTTGATGAAGTTCTGTAAAATATTTAGGAATACTTTGTTTCTTTGTTTTAATGGGGTTTTGTGCAGATTTCTTTGGTGCTTTGAGAGCGAGAGTGTATGATGATGAAGTTAGGAAGTGGATTTCGGGGATTGGAATTGAAGGAATTGGGAAGAGACTTGTGAATTCAAGGGAGGGACCTCCGACTTTTGAACAGCCGAAAATGACTATTGAAAAGCTTCTCGAGTATGGAAATATGCTTGTGAAGGAACAAGAGAATGTGAAGAGAGTTCAATTAGCAGACAAGTATTTGAAGGAAGCTGCACTTGGAGATGCTAATGAGGACGCCATTAAAAGTGGAGCCTTTTATGGTTAGCAAAGCTTTGTAGGATTGTAAATTGAATGAGTTTGTTAATAAGAGAGAGTTTTTTGGATTAAAACTTTTGATTGATGTAATGATGTTATGGATACAGGGAAAGCTGCGCAACAAGTTAATGTTCCTGTTCGTGAAGGCTGCACGGATCCTTCGGCAGAAAACTTTGATCCAACGGCTAGGAGTGATGATGGGAGCTGTGTGTATAAGTTGTAGATGGTGATCAAGGGCTTAGATTATCTGCAAATGCGATAGAAGCATTCTGTAATTATGTTATGGGTGCATATCGTGATATCGATTACTGTTTTGTATGCTAATGGCAGCAATAGTTAATTATGCATGGTGAAATGGTTTTACACTTGAAGAACTTTAATCGTATACCTTGATGATATGTTTGGTAGTATCAGAAAACATTGGCAGGATTTGTGACTTTCAAACTAAATTTTAACTTTCATCCAAAATTTCAGATTTGATATTGAAAATGGGATGAAAATTACTTACTTTTGTGCTCTGTGTAGCCAATTAGGGAGCACAACTGGAAATTTTACTAGTGGTTTTTGAACTTTTATTAAAAGAGTTGGGATAACGATGAAAAAACAACTATATTTTGTTTTTTTTTTTTTTTTTCGATTTAATCATTTAATTTTGATTTGTGTTAAAAAAAACCATTTATTTTTTGATAAATTTTCTACGGCTACCAGAGCTTTATTTGTACTTAAAAAACTATCAATTTTCATTTTGTGTTAAAAAACCATCCATAAATTGGTGGTTAAATCGAACTTTTGAAAAGAAGTATTTTTTTTAGTAATTAAAACCGATTATAATAAGTAATAGTGGTTGTGTTAAACATTTTACCAAAAATGATGGTTTTTTTTTTTAAATTATTAAAAATTTGATGGTTAAACTAAACTTTTGAGAGATATAGGTATTGTTTGTTTTGAAAGTGGTTATAGTTTTTTGTCTTTTATCAAGTTTGCAGAAAAAGACGTACACTTGCGAAATATCTATCCGCCAAAAGAAAACAATGCTCAAAAAATATTTTTATAGAAAAACATAGTGTTTTTTTGTCATTATCCCAAAAGAGTTAGGTTAAAGGGGATGAAAAAAAATTTGGGATGTTTGATATGTCTTTTAGGGTCCTATAAAAAAGTTAGGTATTAATCGGTTACTTTTGATATTATAATTAAAAGTCTTTGTATTTATCTTAATTATAGCCTCTAATTTAATCCCAGACATATTCATGCTAACTCAATCGGATCTGATTTTATCCTTATCAAACATTGAGGGGTATCACCCCGATGAACGGCAAAAGGTGAAAGTTCACATCCACCGATATAAACAAAAAAATGATCACAATTAAAAATAAATAAAATTTATATTTAAGATATTTATGAGTCGCTATTTTTTTAGCCGCTAAATCTTGTTTCGCTGTTTTATGAAATATTATTAGTAAAAAAACATGTTAACCTTTAAAAAGAAATAATCTTTACACCTCATTTTTATAATATTTATTGGTTTGATTCGTGATTTTGTTTTTTCTTCTTCGTCTTTATATGCATTAGGCCATATTATTCAATGGCCGGCAATTCAATGTCGCCATGTTGCTTCTTTTTGTCTATATCATGAGACTTTATTTATTCCACTAAGATGACAAATTTTCATATTGATCTACAACAAAATATTAATTATAAGACATATAAGAGCAAAGACGTCGACTATAAGAATTTACCTTATTTAAAATGTTAGAATATACTCGATTATTCCCAAGTTGCAGACCATTCACCCAACATATTAGATTTCAAATCTTGGCATTATTTATAGGACCTTAACCTACATATACAAGTGTATGTTAAGGTGTCTAATTCTCATTTCTTCTTCTACTTATATAAGTGTGTAAAAGTATTTGGTTTTTGCTTTGTCTAGTAAAATTTCAATGGCGGGGGAGAAGGAGCAAAATAAACCGTGTCTTGAAGCCCAACAAACAAGGCCATGTAAGTTCACTTACGATCTTTTTCTTTGTTTACTAGATGATATATATACACCTATCGTTTGAATTTTAGGACTCATTTTGTAAGTAATTATTGAAGTATGCTAAAAGTATTGTGATCTTTTGTGGATGAATGATATACGTACAATGCAGCTGTGAAGACAACATGGCCAGAACTCGTGGGGATGAAAGCTGAAGATGCAGAAAAAAAGATAAAGGAAGAGATGTTGGGTGCTATGGTCCATGTAGTTCCTCAAGATACTTTTCTTACAATGGAATTCAGGTCAAATCGAGTCAGGTTATTCGTTGATTCTTCTCAAAATGTTGTCAGGGCACCAAGAATAGGCTAAATCTCATGGTCAGCCTCATCAACTCAAGATTGAATTGTGCTGATCCAATGCTTTATTTATATATACTATGTACACTCGACACTAGCTTTCATGTATCTCTTACCCGTGTTTATTTGAATCTATGATCGAATTAATGTAACTTACAAACACAAATACCCAACTCAATAACTAATCGGATAATGTCATAATGGTTTATTTATGAAAATGTCGATTTTACCCTTGACAAGATTTTGGTTTGTTTATGAAAATGAAGACAAGATTTTGGTTTGTTTATGAAAATGAAGACGACAAGACTCGAACCGCAATCTCATATTCACAAATCCACAAGTTTACCACTAGGCTGAAAGCCTACTTGTGTTTTACATAAGGAAGGTAATTTGTACACAACAGTTTTTTGTCGTACACAACAATTTATGCATTATAGAGTTGTACAGTACAATATTTTAAAACATCAATTGTTGTGTATGGAGAAAAAATTATTGTGTATAAGTCATCTCCCTTTATATAAATATCATATATATTACCACTTAAACAATTTCAATACACTTATTATTATTATTATTATTATTATTATTATTATTATTATTATTATTATTATTATTTCTTCGAATTTTCAATATTTTTTATTATCAATATAAAAACTTTTTGGAATACATTTATTATTATTATTATTATTATTATTATTATTATTATTATTATTTTCTTCAAATTTTCAATATCATTATGTATTTTTTTTTTTTATCAATATAAAAACTATTTTTTGTTGTTCGTATTCTCACTATAAATGCATTTTTTTTTGTATTATTAATATAAGTATTTTTTTTTCATACTTTCAATATAAATAGTTAAATACATATATTTTGTATTTTTCAATATAAATACTTATATACCTTATATCAATAAAACTGTGTTTTTTCATATTTTCAATATAAATACATAGATTTCGTTTATAGTATATAAATATGTATTTTTGTATTATTCACTTTATGAATGCGAATTTGAATTATTCGGTCGAGAATATGTTTATTTATAACGCATTTAAAATGTATTTATACATTTATCAAATTTATATAATATATACGAAATCTACATATTTATATTGAAAATACGAATAAATATAGTTATATTGATATAAGACATATAGGTATTTATATTGAAAATACAAAATATATGTATTTAACTATTTATATTGAAAATACAAAGAAAAAAAGAATAGTTATATTGATAATACGAAAAAATGCATTTATAATGAAAATACGAGAAAACAATATATATATATATATATATATATATATATATATATATATATATATATATATATATATATATATATATATATATATATATATATATATGTATGTATATATATATAATAAAGAAAATACATAATTATATTGAAAATTCGAAGAAATAATAATAATAATAATAATAATAATAATAATAATAATATTAATCAAAATCAAAATCAAAAATATATTCAAATTGTTTAAGTGGTATACAATATATATGATTTTTTCTAGATAGGAAACACAAGAAACCTTTGAGATTAGGGGTAAACTTGTGGCTTTGTGACTTTGAGGTGACTTTGAAGAGGCAAAGGCACATCATCAAATCTAGCCTAATCAGCAAACATGTGGCTTGCCACTTGTACAGGTAACCGGTTTAACCTGTAAGAAGGGAAAATTTGAAAAAAGTATTACAAGTTTGCGGTATAAACGAACTAAAATCTCGTCAAATGGTAAAACCGACATTTTAAGCCTAACTTGAGATTTATTATAACTTAACATTTGTTTAATTAAATAACTCAACACAAAAATGATCAGCTCAAGTTTATTATGACATTTTTCCTTGTTTAATTAAATAAGTCAACACAAAAATTATCAAACATGATCAATTTTCACCCCTAAAGAAGGAAATGTACATCTAGTAACGAGAAGGAATTGCCAATTTTCACCCCTAAAGAAGGAAGTGTACATCTAGTAGCGACAGGGGAATAAGGGGTGGGGTGGGAGGTGTGTGCCCTTTGGAATTTTATTAGACAAAACTTCAAAAATGGTCCCTGTGGTTTTCGAAAATATCAAGTTTAGTCCCTAAGTTCAAAAAACCTCATAGATCGTCCCTGTGGTTTCAAAACTTTTAACATTTGGTCATTCCGGCTCACTCCGTTACCATTTAACCGTTACATCGGGGTTATTTTTGTCATTTCATACCTGGGGACCATTTATGAAGTTTTTATTACTTTTTTTAAAATAAATAAATAAATTTAATATGCAAGGGTCCCACCTATCTCTCTATCTCTATAGAAGACGTCGACAACGATGTTGAAATCGAGAAATGGGTCAAAGCAATTAACATGGTTGTTCGAGTTTTGTACCCTAGCGAGCGACGCCTCTGCAATCGCGTCTTCGGTTACTCCTCCGCTACTGCCACCGCCGCCGATCTCTCCTTCATGGATGTATGTAGGGTTTCCACCATGGAGCTGCTTAATTTCGCTAATGGAATCGCCATGGGGAGCAGAGCACCAGAGAGACTATTCAAAATTCTCGATGTATACGAAGCCGTGAAGGATCTATTATCGGAATTCGAGGTATTATTTTCCGATCAATATTGTTTATTCTTAAGAAACGAGGCCATAGGCTTTTATTCTTAGAAACCCACAAAGATCGTTGAAAAAAAAACAAACACCCATATGAGAAAGTTGGTTATGAAGGAATTGTTCTTGTTCTTGCTCAAATCAAGACTTGTTCAAGTGGAGGAAGGGAGAACTTGGTGATAATCAAACTTCACAGCAGTGGCGGTGATGGGGAGTTTGGTGATGGTGGGTCACGACTGGAAGGTAGTGTTCGGTGGTGTTCAGTGGTCATAACAACAACTACACAGGTGGTGATTAATTATCAGAACAGGAGGGGGAAAGAGAGGTTAAGATGGCGGAGTAGTGCTTTGGCTCACCGGCAGTCACCTTCGACTAGAGAAGTCCCCGACGAAACTGTTTTGGTCACCGGTAGGTTACATCAGTGAGTAGTGGGGTGTTTGGGGGTTGAGCTTCGATGGGAAGGGATCTGTTGGAGGTTAGGATGGAGGCAACAACCTCCTCCCTCTCATCTTCGCATTTTCTGGCGAAAGGAGGACCACCCACCTCCGGTGGGTGAGTCTTGGCAGTCTAATGAAGAAGAAATGGGGACAACAATAGCAAGTATTGGGTTGTTTGTGTGGTGCTAGACGAAGAAGAAAACGGGGGGGGGGGGGGGGGGGGGGGAGAGGAGAGAGAGAGAGATAGAGAGAGAGAGGAGGAGGGATCATTGCATATTAAATTTATTTATTTGTTTAAAAAAAAGTAATAGAAAACCTCATAAATCGTCCCTGGGTAATAAAATGCCCCTGACTTAACGGTTAAATGGTAACGGAGTGAGCCGGAATGACCAAATGTTAAAAGTTTTGAAACCATAGTGACGATCTATGAGGTTTTTTGAACTTATGGACTAAACTTGATATTTTCGAAAACCACAGGGACCATTTTTGAAGTTTTGTCTAAAATATAAAGATGTAAAATGATATTTATAAAATAAAACAGTTTTTTATTTTTTTATTTTTTAAGTTTGACGGAAACCAAATCACTACAAGAAAAATCCTTATTAGTGACCATTTTTAGTGACGATCAAAAATATAGTCACTAATAATATCAGTTAATGACCACAAATTTAGTGGTCACTGAATTTTGGTAATGCTACAAATTTAGTGACTAATTTTATAATGGTCGTCATTCACCCGTCACTAAACGGTAGAAGTAAAACAAAAATATATTTTTAGCATAATAAAAGGTATTAGTGACTAAAAAGGTGGTCACTAAATTAAAGACTTAGTGACCAAAACAAAGTTGTCACTGAATTGAAGACTTTTGAATATTAATGACCAAAAATAATAATCACTGGTTATTTTTATACACATGGGCTGAAAAAAAGATAGCAATCGTCGTTGTCTGTGAATTAAACAAAAAAAATTTAAGTTCCACACTACACATTTATTTTAACACCATATGAACTTTTCAGCACTTATATATATATATATATATATATATATATATATATATATATATATATATATATATAATATATATATATATATATATATATATATATATATATATTAAACAGATAATTAAAGCTCAAGCTTCTTAGAAACAATACTTACGGTTAAAAAAGTTATCTTCTTTTTACCTGTTACCAGCTTCTTTTTTTACTGTATATATTTATTCATTTCTTTTTCCACTTATGTCTTTAATTATTTTCTCGACTAGTCCACTTCCATTTTTTCAACCCCTAGTTTTGCTTTTTATGTTTACCCTTCCACCGCTTCAATGACCCACTGCTTTCTGTATTCCTTTTCCTCAAAGCCGATCTACCGTGTTGTACTTCTCTCGCTCGATTCTTCCTCGATTGAAACTCTTTGCCGCCTTGTGACATATGTTTTCCAGAGAGAATCGACTGCACCTCCACCTCCGCTCCCCCTGTACATCGATGCTTCCCACCACCACCGACAATCGAAAACAGAATCAGGGTTTATGTGGGAAGCCGTACTATCACAGCCGGCCTCCACCACTTCTTTTGTGTGTCTCCTTGGGATATGCTCTTCATATTCAATTTTGAATTTGATTTTGGTTTTATTTTGTTGTACCACACTAATTTAAAATACAATTAGTTGTGAGGTGGTTGTTTACAGGATTAACACCAAACGTACGCCACCACCACCAGGAAGCAGTTACTATCCATACTTTCGGATTGTTAGGTGATGATGCATCTGCTCAATCCGGTGTTCCTATTTTCGATGTGGTGTGCTGCTATTGTAATTGCACCCCAAGTGTTTGTTAAAATGCCCAGGTTAGTTTTTTTTTTATTTTTTGGTATGTTCCAGCCAAAACATATGCTTAACTGTGTAACATAGAACTTCATTTCACCACTTCAAGATTGGATTCATCTCAAAATACATAATGCTATTTCAATAGAAGTTGTGGTATTTCCCTTTTATAGTTAGAAGTTAGTACTGCCAACTTCATGCAGTTCTCAGTTGTAGTAGTCCTATTGAATTTGCAGCAATTGTAGTCATTTTAAATTTAGATTCAATTTTTGGGCTCTGATTGAAACCCTTAAATCTTTGTAACTATTGTTTCAAATATTTCCGGTAATTTTTTTAAATTAAGGTATTGTCTCCCTTTTATGTTATTAACCCTTTAAATAACATGAGTTATTAACATAATTTGGATTAAAATATGTGTATTAGGCTGGATGAGCATGTGATATATATGATATATCATTCAGTACCAAAGGATATCATGCCTACTGCAAGATGTACTAAAAGCAATGTAGGAGTGGCATTTTTGTCATTTATGTTCCACTTTATCAAGAGGTTTAATCAAGGGACCATATGGTTTATATACATATAGTATGAAGTTTCGCCTCTGTACTAGCTTTCCATTCTATTTCTAAACGCTTAACAAAATTTTATTTGTTTAGATTTTAATTCCTTTCAAAACATTCTGCAAACCAAACAACCCTTATAATGCACCTTTCTTATTTGTTAGAAATATCATGCCCGGTTAACGTATGCATCGGTTTACTTGCAGAGAATCAACATAAAGAAAATCAACAGCCATCCATGGTTCCTTAAGAACTTGCCTCTGTAACTAATGGAAGCAACATAATTTGGTAAGATTTTTTTTTTTTTTACATTTAATTTCAAAAATTGTATACACATTTCATTGGCTTGCAACAAACAATGTTAATTAGAGGGACTAAAAACATTATGAAACGTTAGAATATGGACCAAATTTGATTCTTTCTTGATATTTTTGGGCCACATTCCAAGGAAAAATGACTGTTATTGGGACCAAAATCGTAAATATGAGATGTACTCAAGGACAAAAAAATGTCATTTTACTTTGAATGGGGACCATTACAACAAATAACAATGTACTTTCGATTATTTTCTCTTAAACACTATTTAAAAACCTTTATTAAATAAAGTTTAATAAAATCAAACGGTGGAATAGGTGTGCTTGCTTTTCTAAGATGACACTATGACTGAGGGGTAGATTTGTAAAAATACATAGCAAATGTCTTAAATGGTGGAATATGTGTGCTTTCTTATTTCTTTATTATCTGATCTCTTTTTACAAGAATTGCTAAATGGGTATGTGTTGGTGTTCTGGGTTAATTGCTCCTAAGTCTTTTTTTAGGTAAATAAAATTTACTTTCAAAATGCCCATGAAATCATAGCACATGTCTATATTACCCATTGATGGTGATAAGCGATTCTTTTTTTTTTTCTTGCTACAATTCAAGTACTTCCTCAAAGATCTAGTGAAATATGATGTCAAATATCAAGTAACATAACGAAAGGAAACAAAAAACAGGTTAGTCATTATAACATTATAATATCAGATAAGGCTGCTCTTGAAGTTGAACCTATAGTTTCCCCGCTTATAAATGAGAAGAAAAGATGGTACATGATTGCCAAAGGTATGTACTTTCATCCATTCCAGTTTTGATGAACAATAATCTATTATGGGGCATAGTAAAAATATATTTTGTTATCATAAAGTTCTATAACATTTGAAAAGTAGTATATGTTCTGCTTTAAAGTTCTTTTATCTTGTTATATAAAAGTATATAATGAATGTTACCCATTTAACATGCAGTTTAAAGAAAGTAAAGTCTCCAACATAAAGGCTCCAAAACTCCACCCTAACCCCAACTACACCTTCTATGATTCGAGCATAAGAGTTTCAATCAAGTCTTGGAACCGAGTTTCCTAGTTATGTAAAGATGACGGAATCACAAGTTACCTATGGGTTTTGGATGGTATTTCCTCTTTCTTTAACTAATGAACAAAATATGATAGCAATATTCATATCAATTTATAGTAAACAGTTACCATTGTTTGTTTGAGTTTGTTTGATTTTTTAGAAATCAGTTGTCCCCATTGAAGACCATGAATTTGAAGAAGAACAGGATTCTGATTCCACATTATTCCATAACAAGGTAAAAAAAATCACATGTGTATGATTTTCAAAAAATCAAGAAACTAGGTTTATGATGGGGAACGTAAGTAAAAAATATTGTTTTTCATATATGTGGTGATTAGAATGGCAGGATATGACAGGTCTAGTGGTAGATATGCTCAAAATCTTAGATAAAGGTTACTCAAGAAGCAGCACAAGGCACTAATGAGACAAATCTATTTATATTTTTTATGGTAAAGATGTTGAATCCATCTTTGAATATCCTACTTTGTATATTTTTTTAGTCATTGAAGTATCGTACACTCTAGGTTCTATTAAATTTGTGAACAATTTATGTTTATTATGTCATGAGATTAATTTTGATACAGAGATCATATTATATCTTTACCATTGACTAGTTTCCTGCTAGTTACTTAAATTGGTTAAATATAAGAAATAGCAACAAAAATCAGTGATGAACTTCTTCCGTAACTAATCAGACGAAATCAATGACGACTTTATACGGTCACTAATCAGATGAGATAGTGATGACTTTTTATGGTCACTGTTCGAATAGTGACGGCTTTTTCTGGTCACCGATTAGATAAGACAGTGACGACTTTCATTGATTAGTGAGGACATTTAGTGACGAAACGGGTTGTCACAAATTTAGTGACCAGTATATTTTCGTCACTGTGTAGTGACTGCTTTTATATTTCGTCACGAATCAGTTTTTGTGACGGACCTATAGTGACGAAAAATGACGACCAAAAGTTTGGTCACTAAATCGTTTAGTGACAACTCTTTCTATTGTTAGTGACCATTTTGTTTTCGTCACTAAGTGACATTTTTTTTGTAGTGAATATATAACAAAGCTAGTTTAAAATGACAAAATCTGCGATCAAAGAATACTCAAACAAAAGGGACAATTTTTTTTATCAAATGACATTTGGAGACTAATATATGTATGGATTGAAAGAAGATGGATGTGAGGATATGCAAGTCTCCTTGTAGCCAATATATGTATAATATATATTTAAAAGTATGATGGATGTGTGAATAGACATTCAAAAACAAAGAAGTTTTTGTTTCAGTTTTCTCTAAAGTTTAATAATAAAGATAAAAAGTATGAGAGTAAAAGTGTTACTTCACATGGGCTAAATTCGAATAAAGTTGGTGATAAAAATTATTTTCCCAATAAAATGAAACCGAAAAAGGTACTTGAACCAAAATATTTTGTAACATTCACTATAACGTATTAACAATTTTGATGATTCTGTGTAATTATAAAAACTCAAAAGTTGTTAACCGCTTCACCTTAATCTTATATTTTAATAGTTTGATTCATGAGGTTATTCTTTGGATAATATAAAATTGATCAAGTCATATTATGATATTTAACAGATTTATTATGTTTTTACAATAATTTGAAATAATCACCAATTTCATTATTTAATGCTACTAGTAAGAAAGGTAACGAGTTTGAAAAATATTACCTAATATAGTGATAAGTCATTTTTCTGATCACCCTTCGCTTTTTCCTTGTTGGTCTTTATAAGATAATTATTCGTCTAATAATTCAATAGCCATTAGTTATATCTTGTCCCCATCCATATGACGTACGTGGCTTTTTTGATCAACTTTTTATCATGAAAAATCGATATGGTCATTGGTCTGCAACAAAATATTATAACAGCCCATTTATCAGCTAATATATATAGAAGTGTGTTAGCTATTTAGCTCTCATTACTTCCTCTATAATGTATACAAGTTTGTAATTTGGGAACGTCAATAACTTTCATAGATGAAAATGCCAGCGTTCAAACAAACTTTTGTTTGGGTATCATTTCTTCTTCTCCTTTCTTCTTCTATAATTTATAAAATTATGTTAAAGCATTGGATTCCCAATAACTTCAATAAAATCGCAATGGCCGATGAGAAGAAGAACCTGCAACTCACATTCCCTGAGGTAGTTTGGGACCCCGATCCATGTAAGTTGATTTCCAATCTTCTTTCAATTCAGTATAACATCATCACATATATGAATATGAATGGATTGGTTGATTGTTAGTTTCGTAAGTAATTGAAATGTAGTGCAAAGTGATGTCGATGAATGATACAATGCAGTTTTGAAGATGACCTTGCAAGAACTCGTGGGGATGAAAGGAGAAGATGCAGCAAAGAAGATAGAGGAAGAGATGTTGGGTGCTACTGTCCACGTAGTTCATGAAGATAGTGATGTTACAGTTGGTTACAAGTTGGATCAAGTCAAGTTAATCCTTGACTCCTCCGAAACTGTTGTCGCGATAAATCTTATAATCGCTAAACTATAGTTGGTTATATATTTTGCATATGAGTAATGCTTATATATATGTATCATTTGTTCATGATGTTTATTTAAATAAATAGTAGTTGAGTACTCTACTTTTATGTATTTGCCTTGCGAATAATTGTCTTATTTTTCAATTTATTTGTTCCAGTTTTGTGTTTTTTCTCATTTCAGTTTAGTTAAACTTCAACATTTCACTACATTATAAAGACCATTAAGTATGTCTATAAACTATATAAACTATTTGATAACATTTTATATATAACTTCAATTTCGGATTTTTACATTCTTTTTTTTTGGTCTTTATTCTTCTGCCTATAGAGTTTCCAGGTCTAGAGATATATTTTATTTATTTTTATATCACTTTATAAAAGTTGTATAATATTATAAAATTTAAAGCAATAGTTTTGAAGAAAAAGATTTGCCTTAGAAATGCATAATCGATCACGAGTTACGTACAAAAAACATTTACTCCGTATAATATATCATACTATATTTTGTAATATTTTATATTATATCATAACAAATAAAAAATCTTGTTTGGGTAGAATCTTGGACAACATTAAGAAAAATAGGTTTCTTTTAAGCAGGGGTGTTCACGGGGCGGTTCGGTTCGGATAGTAATAAAATTGTGAACCATGACCACGGGGCGGGTACCTCATGCGCACTAACCGAAACCGAACCGTATTGACAAAAAAACCGAACCGAACCGAACCGTATGAAAGCGGGTAACCACGGTTCGGTTCACGGGTACCCGGTAAAATATAAAAAATTAAATTCAATTGAAACTACAAACTCCATTTTAGTTATCTCTTTTTTAAAATTAGCAAGTTAAAGAGTTTAAAAAAAAACATAATGAAGTTTAAAAAACATAATGAATTTCAAATATCATATATTATAAGCTCTCTAATAAATACAATAATAAAAATAACAAGAAAAGCAAATGAATTTAGAATTACAAAATTGGAGTGTCGATATGGATTTTCGTTTAGGATATAGATTATCAAACGGTTCGGTTCGGGTATCCGCGGATACCTAAATATGAAAACCAAAAACCGACCCGTTGATATTCGGTTTTTTCGGTTTCGGTTTTTTTAGGTTACGGTTTTTTTCGGTTTCGGTTTTTTCGGTTTCGGATTGACCGGTTCGGCTCGGTTTTTCGGTTTTGCGGTTTTTTTGCACACCCCTACTTTTAAGCTCTTTACCCCTCTTTATAGCAAAGATGCTATAAGTGCCATCGGCTTTAACACATTATTCCGGTGTAAAACATAAAATACAAAGTTATTTTGTTAATTAAGTTAAGAGCGTAAAGGTTTATAGGTATTTGACAATTGATTATTGATGATTATTTTATGAGATTTTAAAATCCCCTGCTCATTTTTTCTATCTATCATCTTATTACTTTAGATAATGATATATGTAATAAAAATTTATTAATTTTATTAAGCAAAATATCATAATCTTAATTATGTAGAAAAATAATAGAAAGAAAAAAAAATAGAAATTTGTTATGAAATATTAGTTTGTGAATAACCATTGGATTCTCCATTTCTCCCATAACTCTCCATCATTATTTAGCATTAGTAACAATCATTTCAATGTGTTTTATGAATGTAATAATACACCATCATAATGTGCATTCATATTATAGCTCATCTTTTATCTTATTTAGATAGTATAAATAGTGAGCCATATGTATTAGGCACTTGATGTATTCATCACAAGTATTGGAATAAAAGTTCTCTCTACTCTTATTTCTTTCTTTAGTTTATAATTTATATTGTTATTTGATCATATTTTATAACACGATATTAGCACGAGGCTCTACCATAGAGTTCCAACTTCTTGCCGTTCTTGTCGTTGTCAGGTATATATATATATATATATATATATATATATATATATATATATATATATATATATAATTTTTGTTTTCAAAGTTCATATGTATAATGCTCACAAGTTATATAATGCTCACAAGTAATCTTATGATACTTCTTAACTAACAATCCTCTAATATACAACTCTTTATTTTGATTAGTACTTTCACTATGGCAAACATTAGCAAACTTGAGTTTATGGCTCTTGACATTAGTGGAAAAAATTATTTATCATGGATCCTTGATGCTGAAATCCACCTTGATGCTATGGGTCTTGGAAACACCATAAAGGATGTAAATCCTTTAAATGAAGCATCAAGCCAAGAAAAGGCTAAGGCGATGATTTTCCTTCGCCACCATCTCGATGAAGGATTAAAAGCTGAATACCTCACTGTCAAAGATCCAGTTGATCTTTGGAATAATCTGAAAGAGAGGTATGACCATCAAAAAACGGTGATACTTCCTAGAGCTCGTTTTGATTGGTTACACCTTCGGCTACAAGATTTTAAATCTGTGAGTGAGTATAATTCGGCCATGTTCAAAATTACTTCCCAACTAAAACTATGTGGTGAGACTATAACTGATGAAGACATGCTAGAGAAAACCTTCTCTACTTTTCATGCCACTAACATGCTCCTGCAGCAGCAATATCGTGAGAAAGGTTTTAAAAAATATTGTGAATTAATCTCATGTCTTCTTGTGGCTGAACAAAATAATGAGCTCTTAATGAAAAATCACCAATCACGTCCGACCGGTTCTAGTCCATTCCCTGAAGTGAATGCGACATCATCTAATTATAACGGTCAAGGGTCTAACCGTGGCCGTGGCCGTGATCATGGTCGAGGTCGTGGACGTGGTGGAGGCCGTCATAATAATCGTCCCAACAATAATAATAATAATATAATTAACCACCAGAAGTGGGAAAAAAACAAAAACCCACATCCTAATGATAAAAGTGGTCAAGGCAAGAAGAAAGTTGAAAATGTTTGTCACCGATGTGGAATGACCGGTCATTGGTCACGTACATGTCGCACTCCAAAGCATTTTGTTGATCTTTATCAAGCTTCTCTAAAATATAAAGAAGGAAAAAATGCGGAAACAAATTTTGTTCAAAATTATTTTTCCGAAGATCAACTAGGAATGAGACATTTGGATGTCGCCGATTATCTTGCCAACACGGAAGGGACAAACGGTGTTATGAATGGTGATGGAAGTACCCAATTTTTCCCATAAAATGAGATGGATATGGCATATCATGAAATTGTTGGTTTTCTAGTATCATTTTATTTTTGCATTATGTTTGTTTAAAGTCATTGTCATGGTCAAGAATAATATGTAGTTTTGTTTAATGTCGTTTATGATTTTTATGTTATAGTCGTTTCATCAGAAGAGATCTCGATGATTCTTCTCAAAATAATAATATATGACTTTATTTATCTAAGTTGAATATTTCTTATTTCTTATTATTTTATTATATATTTTTATTTTGAAGAGAAATATGGATATTCGCAAAAGAAATGAGGAAGATATATGTCTTGCAGATAGTGCAACAACACATAGCATTTTTAATAATAAAAAATATTTTGCTTACTTATCAATTGGAGAAGCAAATGTTAATACAATAACGGGTAGTGCAAAAATGATTGAAGGCTCCGGAAGAGCGAATATCATATTACCACAAGGGACAATAATTATAATTGAGATGCATTATTTTCATCAAAATCACCAAGAAATTTATTAAGTTTTAAGGATATTCGGTCCAACGGATATCATGTTGAAACAACCAATGATGGTGATGAAGAGTATCTCAATATTACGAAAATGATATCGGGTAAGAAAAGTCTTTTGGAAAAATTACCATATTGTCCTCGGATTGTATTATACAAATATTAGAATGATTGAATCTCATGCTATTGAAAATAAAAGGTATGATAACATCTACAAAGTTTGGCATGACCGGTTGGGCCATCCCGGATCAGTTATGATGCGCAAAATAATTGAAAGTTCAAGTGGACATTCCTTGAAAAACCAGAAGATTTTTCAAGCTAATGAATTGTCTTGTGTTGCATGTTCTCAAGGAAAATTAATTTCCCGTCCATCATTGAATAAAGTTGGGTATGAAAGTCCTAGTTTTTTAGAAAGAATTCAAGGGGATATATGTGGACCAATTCATCCACCATGTGGACCATTTAGATATTTTATGGTCTTAATTGACGCGTCAACTAGATGGTCACATGTGTGCTTATTATCTAGCCGTAATCTCGCTTTCGCAAGATTACTAGCACAAATAATCCGCCTAAGGGCACATTTTCCCGATTACCCAATTAAGAAAATTCGACTTGACAATGCTGGAGAATTTACATCACAAGCTTTTAATGACTATTGCATGTCGATTGGGATAACTATTGAACATCCTGTTGCATATGTTCATACACAAAATGGTTTAGCTGAGTCGTTAATCAAACGCCTTCAATTAATTGCAAGACCATTACTAATGCATTCTAAACTTCCTACATCGACATGGGGACATGCAATTTTACATGCGGCATCACTTATACGCATCAGGCCAACTAGTTATCATAAGTTCTCCCCTATTCAACTGGTTTGCGGCCATGTACCAAATATTTCCCATCTAAGGACGTTCGGATGTGCAATTTATGTACCCATTTCTCCACCTCACCGCACAAAAATGGGTCCTCAAAGAAGAATGGGAATTTATGTTGGATACGAATCTCCATCTATAGTAAAATATTTAGAACCATCAACTGGAGATTTATTTACAGCTAGATTTGACGATTGTCATTTTGATGAATCAGTTTTTCCAACATTAGGGGGAGAAATAAAGAAGCTGGAGAATAAAATCTCTTGGAATGAATTATCACTTTCAGTGTTAGATCCTCGTTCAAGTCAATGTGAACTTGAAGTGAAAAAGATAATTCATTTACAAAATATAGCAAATCAATTGCCAGATGCATTTACTGACCCTAAGAGAGTAACAAAGTCTCATTTACCAGCTGTAAATGCTCCAGTTAGAATTGATATCCCAGAAGGAAAAAATACAACTACAAATGAATCAAAGGCACGCCTGAAGCGTGGAAGACCAACCGGTTCCAAAGATAAAAATCCTCGAAAACGAAAGGGAGCAAATATAATTGATGGTCCAAAAGAGAAAACAGAATCTTTTGAAAAGATTAATGAAGCTCCAGAAGAGCCCAATGACATAACAAAAGAAATTGAGGTACCTGAAAATTATGAAAATGAAGA